AAGAAATTCGTCCATTTCAAGGAACAACTTTTAATTCGGTCGAACATGTTCTTATTTATGATACTTTACCCAAGACAAATTGTGCCAATTATTTTCCAAATGTCAACCAATGGACAATTAATCATTGTCCGGAAATACCTCATGAACCATTAGTCAATATCATTAATCGTATTATTCCATTGGATCAACTTAGTAAATTGGTGATCAAAGATTTTGATGTGCCTTTTGAACAATTAATTAATATTTTATATGTTATTTGTAATTTAGTTACGTTCAAAAGTGATCCATTATATTTGAATGATGTTGATTTAAATTCAATTCAACAAACTAAGCGTTTTTGTTGTGTATCAGATAGAAATAAAATTAGAACGGTGGATATGTCTTATAAATATAGATTAATTAAAACATTGGATATGCCTTATAAATATACATTGAAAAAACTTCAGTTGTTCATCAAATTATTTCGTCGATTGGAACATTTAACAGTTGAAGTAAACACTACAGAACTTGAACGTACAGTCGAATATTTAATTGTACCCAGGTCGAACGATACGATCCGTAATCGACCGTTTACGGTTACCTTACGATGTATAAACGGACCGTATACGGCCGTAATATCGGGCACAGAAATACGGCCTGATCATAATGAGATTACGCCCCGTATACTGTGAAAATACGGCCTCGTATACGGTGCCGTATTACTGTGCCCATGATTACGAGAAAATACGGTCCGTTTACGGTGTCGTATGAAGCAAATTTACGGTGAAAATACGGATAGCCGTATCCATAGACCTGGGTAAACAAGTATCATAATGTACATGGTTTATCATTTTTATGTATTGCAGGAATACCTGCATGGGATCTTTACAAATTGACTGTATTTATTCATAGTAAAAATTACTTCATGATGATTGTGTTAAACCTGTCAACGGACTGTTGGAAAATCGCGTGATCTTTTTTCTTTGGCCCTTTTGTACTGCTTATCTTCCCCTTCTGAATAATCGTCATGTTTTTTGTGATCATGTGATGAGTTGATCTCACTATCTCCCTAATGATGGCAGGTGATGTTCGAACAGTTTATAATTGTGATTTATGTTTATGGTGGTAAATCTTGTTGTTTCGAATATAATTTATTTTTATATATAATTAATATTATTATTTTTCAAAAAAAAAGAAGATTAAATTAAATTGAATTTTGACTCTTTATTTAATATCGAAAATAGATGCAACAAGTCTAGAGCGATATGATGGTATTATGAAATACAGTTCTATTTGATTTTTTTTCGTCCTCTTTTAAATAAGATCCTGATTGTCTTTAATTTCAGAAGTTCAAATCAATATATTTCAATTTAAAATACGTTTGTTTATTTACATATTAGAAACTACGATACTTTATTCTATTTAATTATTTCAGTACTTAATTGATAATACTATAAAAGATTTATAATTAAGTAACAATAATAGATTTATTTCGAAATAAAACATGTTCTTATTCGAACGTCATGGATGGATATAATTAGTTTTTTTCTATGCATTCTTAGATATATATAAATTCACAGTGCTCGAAAATAAAGGATAAGACAAGATAAGATTGATTTATTTCAATCACTGTTTTGTTTTATTTATGTGAATGAGTCATTGAAATTTACGTGTTTTTTTTATATAATAGATAAACACAATCATTTTGTAAAAGAAGTGAATGGAAAAGAAAAAAAAAGGAATGTCAAATAAAAAGAAAAGAATAAGTTAAAAGTAGCACCGACAACAACGAAGAATGACAAGCAAAGAGCAAAAAAAACGAAGGGAAGAAATACTTGTTTTTTGAATAAATATGTAATTACTAAACAAGTGAAAGAAAATCAAGATGAAGTTCATGGGTATGTCCAATTGATCAAGTGAAACTGTTGATGGAACATAAGAATATACAAGTGGAAATGTATATGAAAGATCAAAATTTTCTTGTTGTTCATAATCAATTTTTGTTTGATCAATTGTTGAACCAAGTCTTTGTTGTTTTAATAAATCAGATGCTCGTTTTATTAATGCTGGTGTTACTTGATCATCATAATCATCCATTGATTTATATAAACTTAATAATTTTGTTACCTAAAAATAATGTTAAATTTATTCATTTTTCAAATAGAAAAAAAAAATTTTGTTTTACTTGAACAATTCTAAGTTTAGTACAAACATTACTAATGCTTGCTTCATCTTTTTTACGAAGAAATAATTAAACAGCTTGTGTTAATGGAAGAAGACAATCAGCAGCACCACTTTCTTGCAAATTTTAATCGCGTAACTGTTGTGTCAAATGGTTTAAATTATAACTGAGAAAAAAAATAATCTTTATTGATGATTATTATTAATTGAAGTAATGGTTACCGAATTTGAAGAGCTTTACTCCAATTACAACAATCACTTCATACGAGTAAACCATGTAGAGCTTGAGCATCAATTATACAAAAAATCTAAAATAAAACATAGATTATTTTTATTTTGATGGAATAATTAATGAACATACTTGTTTGAATAATTGTTGAACAATAATTGGTTCAACTGAATACATTTGAAATAATTTATGATAATCATTTAACTAAATAGAATTCAGTAGAATTTTTTTTTTCAATAGAAACTTTTTATTACCTGTTTAAGAAGATCCTTTGCTGCAAAATTTTGATCGTTTATCATTAGCAGTTGATGCAGAAGCAATTGGATTCATAGAAGCAATACCACCTGAATCGAGATCTTCATGTTCAATTATAGCAGGAACTAAAAAAAGAAGAATAATGTCAGATTTTCAAATAAAAATAATAATCTTACTAATCAATGATAATAATTTAGCTTTAATTCTTTTTGAGAATTTCATCATATAAATGAATAACAAGATCAGCAAAAATAGTTCTATTATCAGTTAGATCAACATTTCTTAATGCTTGTTCGTTTTGTTTTGGAGTATTTGTTGCTTGATATTTCTAGTATTAAAATTTATTGATCTATTTTTATTAATTATATTAAATAATAAATATACTTCTTTAGCACTATATTGTTGTAATCTATGAAGATATCGAACTGTATTTGTTATCGATAATATTGGATAATCAATATCTTCATTTCTCTATAATAATTCAAGTTAACTTTTTTGTTTTTGTTAATATTCAATGAGAAGAAAAAAAATATTTATTCTTACTCTTGGAACTTTTTTAATTTCTTTTTTTGTTACAGCAGATAAAAATTCAGCAACATGTGCTTCATCATCAACAAAATCAATGTATCGAATAGACATTAAAAGTATATAAGCTGGAAGTCTAGGAATATATTTTTTGCAGCTAAACGAGGTTTTAATTCTATATAAACAACATATTTATCAAGTTTAAAAAAAAACACAAAGTATCTAAAATGAGGCAAACCAAGAATGACTGCATCTGTAATTCTTTCAGTGTCTTGTGGAGCACATTTAATCATTCCACTCAAATGTTTTATACTTTGACGACGAAGGTCAACATTTCCTGTTAAATTTGCTGCTGCTGCTGTTGTTGTTGTTCTTAATGATATTGAATTATAAGCATCAACTTGACTAGCATATGAAGGACCACCACTTATTGATCCATTTTGTAGTACTTATTCCCAAGATACATTTCCTATTTTTAATGAATAAAAAATATATTGCATTTCATTAAAACAAAACCATTGAACAATGCTGAAAGAAAAAACTGTCTATGATATGGCTCGCGTGTAGAACCAAAATTTGAAGATTTGTCGGAGCTGTGGGAACAAGAACTTACCAAGATCTGGATCGGGACTGTGAAAAAAGTTGTCCCAACCGGAACTAAAGATAATACAGGGTGGACCAAATGTCATCGAGCAGTCTTTAATTTCGAATAACTTTTGATAAGATCAAGATAAAAAGCTGCGGCTTTCGCCATTCAAAAGAGGCTCTGTTACTACATATACTATTCAATAGTGCTGCTTCCCAAGTGAGCTAAAAAAGACGTGCGAGGGGTGCGCCGAGCCCTCGACCTATCGGAAAATGGCAAACCCAGGGGTCGATTTGAAATTTCGATGGGTCCAAGGCTAGATGGTGAGTAACTTGATAGTTAGCAGAAGCATAGGATCGAAGTTTTCGTAATATGTATCGTGGTGCTATCTGGAGCACGCGGTCTGCCCATCGGAATTTCAAATCGACCCCTGGGTTTGCCATTTTCCGATGGGTCGAGGGCTCGGCGATGGGTATCTTAGAAGACATCGACGGTGGAAAATCGAGGGGTCGAAATGCCTATCGGATGGTCGGTTGGGTTGTTGCTATGGTAATCAGTCAGCGGTCTTCGGACAAAATATTGGTAGCTCTATAAAAATTACACCGAAATTCAATTCTAAAGGGTACGTTAGAATTGTGCACTTGTGAATCATGCTCGTCATTGTCGCTATTTAGTGTTGCATCTAAAACTCTCTATCAGAAGAAGATAATAGGTTCAGTTGTTGGCATTAGCGTAACTCGTGAGTACACGAATTGAAGCCACTTCGTTGAATTGAACTTCTATGTCCTTTTCATAAAGTTATCAAAATCTTGCTAAGGATTACTAACTGATTATTAGGTCAACAATCTGTATTGTTGAATACTACATAGAACTTCGTAGTAACAGACTCTGTTTTGAATGGTGAAAGTCGCAGCTTTTTATCTTGATCCTATCAAAAGTTATTCTAAATTAAAGATTGCCTGATGACTTTTGGCTCATCCTCCAGTTAAATATTCTATGGTTTTAAGCGAATTATCTTATAAATCATATCAATCAGAACATAACTCAAGAAAGATGATCCAAAAAATCGCTAGTCGTCCGTCAAATTAATCGAATAACTATAATTGAAGAATATTTTTTTATGTGAAACGAATAAATTCTGAAATAGATCTCTCGAGACCAAAAAACCTTGGCCCAGCATATCTCTACTTGCAAGTTATAGTTTTGTAAATAAATCTTGATGAGATTAAGAAAAATCGTATCAAAAAAGACATTCTATTATGGAGATATGATCGCGTTTATGATGAAAATAAGTTCGAATGACTAAACTTTCAATAGAATCATTCGCATAAAACTCGAGTTACATATTAAGTTTTTAATGATATTTATTGTGAAAATCTATCGAAAAGGTTTCTTTTATTGTTCAGAAGCTCCAATTGGAGATAATAATAATAAAAATTTAGTCATATGAATTGGTCAAAGAGAGAATTCTGTCAAATATGGGTGTGGGTGGGGTGTGGGTGTGGGTGTGGGTGTGGGTGGGGTGTGGATGCGCATGTGGGTGTTGTTGTACTCAAATACGGTGCCCATCCCCACACACCCACACCCTTATAAACAGAATATAAAAGAATAAGAGTACAAGTAGTATTAGTTTTCTCTGAACGAAAAAGGAAACGAGGTTTGCTTAATAATCTAGGATATAAAAAGTTTGAGAATTTATGTGATAATTGTTTTCACTTCTTGTATCTAAAGATCACGACTTTCTTCCACTTCTAAGCGAAAGAGGAACAATAAATCGTTTCCAAAATTAAGAACAATGTAAATTCGTCAATGAGAACGGAAGTATATATATACCGAATAGAGAATGAGAATATTTCCGAAAAACAAAAGATCAGAGGAGAAGATAGAAATTATGACGTCACTGTACCTCAGCAGCAAGAACAAATGATATTTGAAAAGAATTTATATGCGAGAAGGAAAGAAAGAAAAGAAAAGTATGACATGACAAGTGTAGTTGTTTATGAGCTTAATGACCTTACATATTTAATAGTTTAATGTGAAATAACCACTTTTTTCTTTACTGAAAAATAGGTGGTCCAAAAATGAACCACCCGTCCTCAAAGGGATAAATTCATTGAAAGAGTTTCTTCATTTTCACTTCATAGAACTCGGTTAACGAGTCAATTATCCAATTCTCTCAAGTTGAAATATTCTTAGTCGAGATTGCATAGCGACAAAGACTCAATGATTGAAATCATGATGTTCGGAAAAATATTCTAATAAAAGGAAGAGAACGCATAAGACGTCAAATTTGTCTATTCTTAATTTTTCCAAATCATATATGTCATTCGATGCAGAATTTTACGCTCAGTCATTTGGTAGTGATTTCAAATCGATTCGATAATATCAGGGTGATAAGAACCCAACATACTACATTTAAGAACTTATCATCAGAGTTGTCGTTAGAGTCATTAGGTATCTTGCTCATAACTCTGCATAACGATACCAATTTTACTTCAGGATAGTCTCATTAGATAGAACATTCAATTCTGCGTCGATTCCTATTAGAACAAGTCTATTTGAAAAAAAATATTGGTGTCTAGTATATGTCACTTCATTGTCGCCCAGTGCTATGTAAACTGAAAATCTAGTTCTGCTGATTGGTTTGTCGACTGATAGAGGCCCATAAGATTCTATTGAAGTAAATCTTTATATACTAGCCGATAGAATTTTTTAATAGCTACAAAACCATGTACTTTCCAAACTCTCAAAAACACTGGTCACCTGAGACATCCTAAGCACATCATTCTCTAGACATGATTTTTTAAGTCTTTTTAGGTGGTATTTAATAGATTTCAGTCAGAAAAACCACGGGTTGAGTTAAAACTAATATGATATTTGGGATGGGAGGCCAGAATTTCGGTCCGGCCCGAAATATCACCTGAAATTCGGCCTGGGACGAAATTCCTCTCACTTCTCTTCATAAAAAGAGCTTGTTAGTGCAGCTTCCTTGGGGCTAAAATGTGAAACTCATATATCTTAAGCTACATGATGCCAAGACAAAATATGAAAAATGGATAATATGTAATAAATCCTAGTTGATTTCTAAAAATAATCAACCGTCAGACAAACTATCTGTCTTATTTGTATTCAAATTTTAAACAAAAATTTAAGAATTGCTTTAATCTTTTATTATGTTAACAACTATTTAGAATCTTTTATGATTTGAAATTTTATCAAATAGATTTAGAAAGAAATCTGAATTAGTAAAAACTATCAAATTAAATTTGTGCAAATATTTCTTACAACATAAATATAATGAAAATTCGTCTTAATAAAGCGTGCACCGTTGTCTTCAGTATAATTTTTTAAAACACCGATGTGATGCACAATAAGTAGCAAACTATGAAGCTCATTGAATACCAACAAGGTTTTGACTACAAATTAGTTGACTTCCATGTCCTCGATGAACAACGAACGTACTTGTTTTTAAGAACAAGCTCAATATAAAAGTGTTAGACTAGATTCCACTTCATATCTGCTAGAAAAAAGCTTCTCCTCGAGGCAGTCTATTGGTGATGAAAACACATTCTCAATTATATTGCTGGATACGTGAAAGATGGTAGTAAGCTTACAAAGAACGTACGAAAAAAGAAATAATCTGATATAAAAACCAAACACACCATATAATTAAAAGCGTCAAAGTATATGATCTCAAGACTCTCAAAACTAACATAGCATTCCTAACAAAATGAAACTCTTTTCCTAACTATGAAAATTTTATTAACGATACTAGGAAAATTTAATGCATCTTCATCAGTTTTATGATATCTTTTGAAATATTGAAATTCATTGCTTTTTCCTTGACTAAACTACCATTAAGTATGATCAATGATTATCTATATATATAGTGTTCAGTGTGTGTCTGTGCCGGGTCAAAGATCAAAGGTCAAATAAGGCTACAAGGGGAAGGCGCCAAGGGCTACTATATTGGGGTATCCATAGGCCCTCAAGGACTATTATATGGGGTATCCATACGTCCTCAAGAGCTATCCTATGGGGTAGGCATAGGTACTCAAGGGCTATTATATGGAGGTACCTATAGGCCCTCAAGGGCTATTATATGGAGTACCCATAGGTCCTAGAGGGCTACTATATAGGGGTACCCATAGGTCCTTAACCCTTAAGAGCCGAATGTCCCTTCTAAGGGACATTTGAAAAAACGCTATAGGAGACGTAAAAAAATCGTTGAGACATGGACCAATATTTTTTTGGACTTTGATGACCTAATAGAGTATAGAGTGAAAAGAAATTTCTTAAAATCGACTGTCAGGGGACGCAGCAGGTTTTGGAAAATGCATGAATTTTTTAAATGCAATTTTGTATTTTGCAATGTATGCCTTTTCGTAAATATAGCATGAATTAGCGTGAATTTTGGCTTTTCTGAGAGGCACAAAGGCAAGCTACCGAATGAAACTGTTCCCTAAATTTTTAAGTTACCTGTTGATACATAGTGATAGCACGAAGAAAATGTCCCTTGGAAGGGACATTCGGTCTTAACGGGCCGAAAAATTTGAGCGAGACTTACATTGAAACCGATAGTGTGTAAATTTTGAAAAATTGTAAAATATTGCTTGAATTAGTTTCTTGAGTAATAAGAAACATATAAATAGAGGTATTTTAAAGAAAAAATTGCTTTTACATAAATTGATAACAGTGAAAAATTTTGGACCGTTACGACCGAATGTCCCTTCCAAGAGACATTTTATATCTCCGTAAGAAAAGATTTTTTTTTTGTTTTTATTATCAATGATTCTTATTGAGATACTACACCTTCTGTTTTACCGAATAACTTGTTCAAATTGCGACGATAAGGCCTTCCGGCTTTTAAGGGTTAAGGACTATTATATGGGTGTACCCATAGGCTCTCAAGAGAGTAAAGCAGTAAGCGGGTAGGTAATAAGGGGTAAAGCAATAAGGAGATAAGGCTAGAAGAGCTACAAGGGATATAAGGCTATAAGGCCTAAGGCTACCTGGACTATAAAAATATGTGCGATATAAGAGTATCAGGCCATAAGGCTATCTATCTATATACATAATATCGGGTGTCTGTATGTCTGTTAC